CCCTTGGTCCCCCGCTTCAGCTCAGCCTCGGTTCCGTCCATTTCTCTCTCCCTTTCCCCCTCTTTTTCTCTCTTTTTCTCTCTTTTTCTCATTTTCCATTCTGTGAACAGTGATCCGCCGGAGCTTCGCCGGAGCTCCGATCGCCGTTCCGTTGACACCCGGCTGTTCAGCATGTCCATATGTCGCCGTTCAGCCCAGTCCGTACAGAGACCGTACAATTACTGTTCACGTCCCCGTACGGGTCACTGTTCATCCAGACCCGTACGGCCGTCGCCGCCGTGACCGGCGCCTCGCCGGCCACCGTTCCCAGCCGTCCGTACAGTGTGTCCGTACGGCGGTACTGTTCACGTGTCCGTACGGAATCGCGGTTCACCCGTCCGTACACCGCGCGCCGTCCGCCGGGAATTCCGCCGCCGGTTTCACTGTTCATCAGTGATCGTCCGCCATTCCCCATCGTCGTGACCCTTGTTTTGGTGAGTAAAATTCCAAAACCCGGATTAGGACTGATGTTGCGTTTTTCTGGACTGGTTTAGGTGTTATCGGTGCATTTTGGACTGGCTTAGATAATAGCAGTGTGTAATTGAGACTGGGTTGAGGACCGATTAGTAGAATTTATTATCGGAAAAATTTAGTGGATTAATGAGAATCGTTGGGGAGGATAATAGGGTTTAATGACCAATTTAGGAGTTCATCGGTGAAAATGCCGGGTATGCCCGGGTTGTCTGAATTATATTGGTGCTCGTGGTTCATTGCATTGCATAACATGGACACGCATTGCGTATGCCAAGAGTGAGGCATGTGATGAAAATTGTGCGAGAATGCGTGTCTGCCATGAGCATGTGATCACCTAAAATACCCTGAAGCGTTATACGCTGGGTTCAGATAATAATGAGCTGTGTGATCACCTAAGGACCTTCGGGTCGATACCGTCCTCATGCACTTTGAAGCAGGACGATGCCCGGTATGTCCGGAAGGCGACCATCCTCATGCACTTTGAAGCAGGCTCTGGTTCGCAAGGAGAACAGTGTTGCGCCTCATGCACTTTGAAGCAGGCTAGAGACACTGGGCCAGATCGGATGCTGCGCCTCATGCACTTTGAAGCATGCTAGACGCACCGGGCCGTGAAAAATTGATGACTCGAGTCGTAATAATAATTAATTGGGCAAGTGTGCCAGTGTGGGCCAGTGGGCCAAAGAAATGTGCATGACATGTCAATGACATTTGCATGCATAAACATGCATTGATTGGCATGCGAGTGTGTGAGACTCGGTGTGTGAGCTTGTGATTGACATACGTGTAATTATGCGTGCCACGCATGTGCCGTGATTATTACATATTGAACTGTTTAACCTGCAGGGTCAGATAATTGTTTGACTATTGTGGTATTGTGATTTGAATAATTGTTTCCAGTCAGGAGATTGCATGCTAGCCTAGCCTAGGTTTAGGGGTTGAACTCACTGAGATTCGTCTCACGGTTGTGTAAATCGAAACTTTTCAGACCCCCAGCAGTAGGATGCCGAGGTCACCACCTCTTTTTGGGAATACCGCCTTTTATCCGGCAAGTCGAGCATGCACCCCGGTAGGGATGGAGCGAAACGGAGAAGTGGCTGTTTGGGTTATTCCCAGCTGTTGGTGTTTCCTTTTTGGTTGTCGTGAACACTGTAAAAAGAGTTTTAAAATAGTAATATAAGTATGTACATATTTTCTGCGTTGAATCTTGTTTATTGGATGGCTATCCTTGGCTCATATTGTAATTGTCTGGGTTTGTTTATTTTATACTTCCGCTTGTGCTTGATCTCTGTATGGGCGTGGGTCGGCGACGCTTCCTGGGACGTCGCAATTTATCGACCGAAGGTGGGATGCTCCCGCTTCGTGGGGTACGGGGCGTGACAAAATCCGGGCGAGCTCGGCCCTCGCCGGCGATGAGACTTGGTGGCGTCAGGGGCGTCGGGGCCGTCGGGGGCGTCGGAGGCTTGGTGTCCATGGCGCCGGAGCCGGAGGAGGAGGGGGGGCGGCGGGGGAGGCGAAGGGAGAAGGTGAAGGCGAAGGAGAGAGAGAGAGAGAGAGAGAGAGTGAATGTGGAAATTGAAAGTTGTGGGAATAACGAGCGCGAAAATTGTACACACTAAAATAATTGCCCGGAAAATTGAAATTCGTTGGAAAATTCGTTGGAAATTTCCAATGAATTTTCCAACGAAAATTATACACACTGAAGTAATTGCCCGGAAAATTGAAATTCGTTGGAAAATTCGTTGGAAATTTTCAACGAATTTTCCAACGAATATAAAAAATGCCGAACAGTACCGGGTTTTTTTTGGAATTCGTTGGAAAATTCGTTGGAAATTTCCGACGAATTTTCCAATGAATATAAAAAATGCCGAACAGTAACGGGTTTTTTTGTAATTCGTTGGAAAATTTGTTGGAAATTTCCAACGAATTTTCCAACGAAAATTGTACACACTGAAATAATGGCCCGGAAAATGGAAATTCGTTGGAAAATTCGTTGGAAATTTCCAACAAATTTTCCAACGAATATAAAAAATGCCGAACAATACCGGGTTTTTTTTAATTCGTCGCAAAATTTGTTAAAAATTTCCAACGAAATTTGCGACGAAAATTGTTTCGTTGGAAATTTCCAACGAATTTTGCGACGAAAAATTTTTCGTTGGAAATTTCCAACGAATTTTACTTTTCGTTGGAAAATTTGTCGCAAATTTGCGACGAAAATTTTTTCGTCGCAAATTTTCGTGGCAAAAATCCAGTTTTTTTGTAGTGTAAGATTTTGAACAAATCAAAATTTAATGGCTAAGATTTTATAAGCGAGGGCAGTACAATTAGAAGGATCCACCATGTTAATATAGTGCAACTTGTTGGTTTTTGCTTTGACAACTCTAAGCAAGCTCTAGTGTTCGATTTCATGTCAAACGGGTCTTTGGATCAGCACATTATCTCTAAAAATGGCAACTATTCTCTTGATTATAAGAAAATATATGAGATGTCTCTCAGTGTGGCTAAGGGGATAGAATATCTACATTGGGGATGCGACATGCAAATTCTCCACTTTGACATCAAGCCTCACAATATTCTTTTAGATCAAAATTTCACTCCGAAAGTTTATGAGTTTGGGCTCGCATAACTCTTTCCTATGGACCACAACATAGTGTCGTTAACAATTGCAACAGAAACCGGGGGATATATGGCTCCTGAGCTATTCTACAAGGACATTGATGATATCTCTTATAAAGCCAATTTTTATAGTTTAAGGATGTTGCTAATGGAAATGGCCAGTAGGAGGAGAAATTTAAATGTAAGTGCTTATCGTTCAAGTCAAATCTATTTCCCTTCATGGGTTTATGATCAACTCAGCAAAGAAGACGAGGTTGAAATGGAAGAAGTAGAAGAGGAAAGAGAGATAACTAAGAAGATGGTAATAGTTGCCCTTTAATGTATACAATTACTCTCTAATGATCGGCCATCAATGAACAAAGTCCTAGATATGCTTGAAGGAGATATTGATAAATTGCGACTAGCCCAAAAGCCGCTTTTGTGTCCGTCCGAGAAGCCAGTTGATGATGTAGACATTGAAATAGAACTTGAATAATTCTCAACTTCATCAAGTGCTCTGACGATTGCTGACGGATACGTATTTCAGAATAACAAATGAAATTATGAAATCGTACATGTTTGATTTTCTTTTCTCCATGTAGGATTGAAATGCAAAATAAAGGTAGTTCCATCAGAAGCACAATTACCAATGTAATACATGAACCCAGATGATTTTCGTGTTTGCTAATTCCTGTGTTTTGTAGAAGAATTGCCTCATGGCTTTCTATTTACGTTACTTCTTAGTGCTCTTGATACGACACACCAAGCTCGTCTTGTATGGAGCAATGAGCGTGTCTCTTCTCTCCACCGTCCAAGATCAAGGTCTCTCCTGCATTCGCTCCCGGGCGTTGGTGATCGGGTGGCGCGTCCATTGTGAGCTCGCTCGGTCCCAGCTCGTGAGCTGAACTCAGTGATTCTCGACTCTCTGATCAGTGTCTACTCAAAATCCAATGACTGGGCTGAGGCGGAGAGGATTTTTCAGGGACATGGTTAATAAAAGGGTATTGGTTTCTTGGCGTACCATGATCTCGTGCTGTGCCAATAATCAAACGGAGTTTGAAGCGGTCGATACTTTCGTTCATATGTGTGAAAATGGTTTTGTTTCACGAACTGGACCAGTTGGCTAGTCGAATAAAGAAACTGGTTTATGTTCCGACAGCTGAATTTGTTTCTTCATAATGTGGAGGAGGCACAAAAGGAACAATATTTGCTCCAGCATAGTGAAAAAATCGCCATTGGTTTTGGCCTAATCAGCACCTTCAGTCTGAAATCTATCAGAGTATTTAAGAATCTTCACATTTGCGGAGGTTGCCATTCTGCGATCAAGTATATGTGCAAACTTTTGTGGACAGAACATGCTCATGCAATGACTACCGCTGACGATGCTTTCTAAATTATCTCATTCGGTTATGTGCATCAAATCTCTGTTTTAGATTTTTCCCCCTTATTGTTACCTTGAACCGTGATTCTATTATGCTCCTTGCAGGCCCAACAACGTAAATATCACGTCTTGAAACGTATATGGATTTGGTATTCCTACTGTCAAAATACCAAGTTGAAGACTTCAAATGGATCTGGCAAAATTTCAGCTATATGAGTCGAGGAATCTAAAACAGTCATGCTTTTGCCTTTGGAATTCTCCTGGAGCATGCATCTTTCCAGATACTAAATACTGTTTATTGGTTTTACCCTTACTTAAAGTTCATTTATTTTACAGATATCTTGATCTCAGCGAGTCCAAACACACTTTGCCCCTGTCAGCACAAAAGCCTAAACAGCATAAATTAGTTTAACTATCACATCGGCGGACATAGACAAAATCAAATTTGTGCATCTTTCACTTTGATCTTAAGGACAGGATAGAAGTGATCACTTTCAGAAATTCAAGCATCCTCTCTACTTAACAGATCCAAAATTTGCTCATCATATCAGATCACAAAATATGATGTACAACTACAAAAGCTCTTCGACCAAAAACAAAATTACAAAAGCTCAATCCGTAAATGTAATGAAAATTTGTTTGTTCACCCAATGATGAGACACAAGATGGGGTCTTACAATCTTCCAAACAAGCATCATAGTCCTCACTATTGTCCCCTCTGCATGAGTTTCCCTACAACCCACCAGATACTGATATTGATAAGGGACACACGCTACCACTTCACTCAGCGATCCGCAGACTGAGAGCCCTGACCTGACGCGAAATTAGAGAGGTCCTTCTGATTGGAAGCTGCCAAAAAAAAAAAAAAACTCGTTCATCATGACTAAGAATACATTGAAAAGTGGCAAAGGCACATGCTGCTCTTGAAACTCGGGTGGTCTCGCCGATTACAAAAGCAATTCCCATTTTTGCACGCTCTTTTTAAATGCTTCAAATGGTTTTTTAAATTACGTAGGAACAGAAAAAGCATAAAGTGCGCGTGATTAGTCAATACATTTCTTACCTTACCAAAAAAAAAAAAATGCATAAAGGACCTTCCTAGTACAAACAACAATGTCAAAAACAGAATGCTTGCCTTGACTCCAAAAGAATCTCTGCTCAGAGAACACAAAATAGAATGAAGTCGCTGCCGAAAGCTGACTTGGCAATTCTTTAAATGGCAAATTGTATCTGTATGTACTAGGAGATGTACTAATTGAAACATAGATTAGTGTCATATTACTAGCTTTTGTCAGATCTGATGCACCATTAGTTGAATGCCCTGGTGGCAAACGAACAAAACCACCATGTCTATGCAAGTATGCTGACTAGTAATATGCCCAGCCAAACCTTTGTTGGAAAGATTCACCAATCCAAACTCCAAACCAAGTAAGAGCGATGGCGCGCAATATCTTGCTCAACATTAAATATCATGAATACCTTGAGGGTTTGAGTCCAAGTGGCTCAAGCTTTGAGCCATTGAGGACGATGGTTGAACTGGTCCCCTGAGGTTTGCAGTGTGGTGACCACCAGCGATAAGGTTCGGGACTCGCGAAATTGGCATATGTGCAGTGTCTAATGCAGCATTTTCCAGTGAAGACCGAGTAAGACTACCGCTGGGAATGAGAAGGTCGGACCCCACCACCTCTTCTGATCCGACAAAGCTGACAGGATTGGCAGGTAGCTTGCTACTAGATTCAGCTCTGCTCATCATCATTTTTGAACCACAAGCGTAAGCACGAGTCAGCATTACAAGTTGAAAATCAAAATGTTCGACAAGAATGCGCACCGTGACTATCATGTTGTTTCTGCCAATGAGTTTTATCAGTGGTAGCATTTAGGATCATCTAAACATACAATTCCTATCAAAAGAATATTCATGTCCTGTGAAGCAAGACTTGACGAGGCAAATATAATTATGCCGCACCTCGTGCCATAAGCCAACAAAGCGACATGCAGTCCCAAACGATGCATGTATTTAAACCAGTGCAGATAACAGAATTTGCAAAGTTAAATAATGTGCACACGCAGGTAATTTGATTTAAGAATCCTGTAAAGTAAGTAAGTAGCATTCAGATTGAGATGAATAGTTAAGCTATCACCAGAGTGTTCGACGCAGTGGAGAAAAAGGCAAAAGAAATTTTAGAAGATGTACCAAAAAAAATTTCTCGTAGAGACAAGATACAGAAACAATGCAAGAATTGAGTTTCTTACTCATTCTCATTGCTTGTCTTGCTCACTGGAGAATTAGCCAGTGGAGCTGTCTCTTGCGGTTTCATTGACATTTGTTGCTCCGCTGCACCATGAAAGGAGGGCAAGAACTATTAAAACCTCACAGAACGAAGTGTTCTAAGTGTGACAAAGAGCCGTCTAACGGGAGGCGAAATTCATAGGCTGAACTTAAAGGTCTACACAAAATGTCTTCACGAAGCAAACAATCATGAACAGATGGGCATGCTCAGAAGAGCACTCGACAAGACCCAAGTTTTTACGGTCATCTTGAGAGCGCAACTAGCTTTCGCTTTTATGATATAGTGTAAGAACCGAGTTTGATGGGCTTTTTCTCTTGTTCGGGAAGTTGACCAGTGTATACATGATACCATATGCTATGAAGGATAGAAGCTACGCATTTGAACCGTGAAGTTCTATATTGATGGAGTGCAGTCTTACGAGAGCCATACCAGGCACCAGAGGAAAATTCTTGTCTAGATGCTGTTGCTCAAGCAATTCATTGATCTTGCCGATCTGTCGTTTCAATGCTAGCCTTGTGTAGTAATTTTGGAAAAACTCCTGATTACTTTCTTCCAATTTGTCCCAAACTGGAATTCAAAGGACAAGTTCAGAAGCTTCGCATCAAGATATAAACCATACAAGAAACTGCGGGTAAACAGGACCGAATCATTCAGAATACTCAACCGGACAAGTTCTTAGCATTAATCACTGATCAAACCAAAAAAGATGATCTCTCACCCATACGTGTGAGATGGCTGTCAATCCTGAAATGAATTTCTAATGCATGGGCTGTTTCGTCACGGTCCATGTACAGCTGAATGCACTTCTCTATCAAATTGTGGGCCTACGGAAAAAGAACACGAGATGCGATTAAAGACCCTTTTAATTCGAAGAAATTCTGCGATCTTGATGCAATGCAGTGTGAAAGAATAATTCGGAATATAGTAAAACTTGTGCCTTGTCAACTTTATCCTCAGGATATCTTTTGCCCACCGTTGGCCGAGCGTTTGGATCTGGGGCCGCCATGATTCTATTGTGAAAACCACTTTCTGCAATCAAACATAACGAAAGAATTAAAATAATGCACGATGATTTTATACGATAGCCATTGAAGCAAGAACTTGCAGCAAAAAAAATTTGAAAGGACAGAGAAAGACCTGGAAAAGACGAAGTGACTGAGAGTAACCGAAAGTTGATTCTCGTTGCAGAGTTTGGAGTTGTACTTACATTTTGTTCAACTGTCACCGCCTCTTTTTAACGACGCCAACTGTTCTTGCCCATTGCTCCCCGAACTTTGAAGTATTTCAGTTCAACCCATGGGCTTTCAAGACTTTTCAGTTCTACCCCAGCAATTCTATGGGACTAGAGTTTAGTTTCGATCTTTGCCCTTTTTTTTCTCTTTCCCTCTGTTTGTGTTCTTTTTACCACTCAAACATATGCAATCGGATGATAACGAACAAGTTGAATTAAAAAGTCTATCCTATAAAGAAAGAGATTTATTGTGGTCTATTCCTTTTAATTACTAACATGAAGAATGCCTATCAGTTATGATTAGAGAGGAATAGCTCCCCTCCCCCACCCAACCACAAAAAAAAGGTAACAAAATGAGTAATTTCTGAAAAAAAAATTTCATGTTCATGTTGTCCCTAAATTTTATTTTTATCTAATTTAATCCTTGTACTTTTCAAATTCTGTTCAACATGGTCTTCCGTTCAAATCATTGATATTTTGCTTAACTGAGAAAGAATTATACATCATCGATATTGTGAGTCCAACTCAATTCAGAGCGGTTTCTGAAAAAGGAAAGACTTTCTTTTTCTCTGCTCCTTTCGTTCTTTCTTCCTTCCTTTCTTCATTTGTGCTGACCCCTCCATTGTTGCTGGCCATCACCACCAGTAACGTCGGTGGAGTCGTCCTGCCATGTCCACCACCATCATCGTCGGCGTCGACCCTCCATGCACAGCCCAACCCCAAGTGGTGGAGTTTTGCAAACTCGTGCTTGTTCTCTCTAATTGAGCTTTAGCGGATTAGTTCAAACTTAGATTGGAGTCACGCGACCTCCATTGGAAGTCGTATGAGAGAGAGAGAGAGAGGCAATGGTGATGGTGATAAAGGCAGCAGCTGGTTTTGGGGGCCAAGGTGCTGGTGCTTGAGTGTGGTGCCAGCAGCCAAGGTGCCACGCTGGGGGTAATTGAAGGAGTATTATATGGTCTAGATTGGCTTCAAGCTTAGTGGACATGTACGTGAAGTTTGTAGCTAGGAGATCGCTTCATGATTTGAGAAAGGTGTTTGATCGGATGCAAGATCATAATGTGAGATCTTGGACAGCGGTGATCATAGGATATCTACAAACTGGAGAATGCGGAGGCTATAAAACTCTCCTGGGAAATGAAAAAGGTCCAGTCAGGCCAAACCCTTTAAGAGTTTTAGGTTGCGTATGGCAACTATTCTGTGCTCGGGAACAGATTCTGATCAGAAATGATTCTTTTTTATTCTGTACCCGGGAACTAATTCTGAGCATTTGAAGGCGTTTGGTAACGGCCCAAAATTTCTATTCCTGAAAAAGTAAAAGAATAGAAATCCGTTTGGTAACGGCATAAAATTTCTTTTTATTAATAATATTTTAATAACATTTTAAATATTTTAATATTTCTTTCTTTTCTTTTTTTCTTCTCCTCCTTCTTGGCCATGGCCGGTAAAATATTTTTTAATTAATAATAATTTTATTAAAAATAATTTATTTATTTTTTTGGCCATAGCCGGTAAAAAATTTCTTTATTAGTAATACTTTTATTAAAAAATAATTTTTTTATTATTTTTGGCCACGGTCGGTAAAATTTTTTTATTAATAATATTTTTTTCTTTTTTTTGGCCATGGCCGGTAAAATATTTTTTTAATAATATTTTTTTATTGATAATATTTTTTTATTAAAATATTTTAATAAAAAATATTTTTATTGAAAATATTTTAATAAAAAATATTTTTATTGAAAATATTTTTTTTATTTTTTTTTGCCATGGCCTGGTCACCGGCCATGGCCGGTAAAATATTTTTTTATTAAATTTTTTTTATTAATAATATTTTTTATTAAAATATTTTTTTCCTTTTTTTTTGCCATGGCCTGGTCGCCGGCCATGGACGGTAAAATATTTTTTTATTAACATTTTTTATTAATAATATTTTTTATTAAAATATTTTTTTCCTTTTTTTTGCCATGGCCAATAAAATATTTTTTTATTAATAATATTTTTTTTTCATGGCCTAGTCTCTGGCCATGGCTGGTAAAATAATTTTTTTTTGTTCATGGCCGGTAAAATATTTTATTATTAATAACATTTTTTTATTAAAATATTTTAATCTCGCCAGATACGGCGAGGGTGGCCCTCGCGCCGGACATTAGAAGCTACATTAAAAATCAAGAAAAAGAAGAAGAAAAAAAATTGATTCTCATTTTTGTTCCCAGAATCAAGAAGCTACTTTTTTTTTATTCTTAATTTTGCTCCAAAACTGATTCTGGGCACAAATTTGCTAGAATTTGTGCCCAGAATCAAAAAATTTAACAAACGGATTTCTGTTCCAAAACTGATTCTAGGAACAAAAGAACAGAAATTTTCACTATTTGGCCAATTGCCAAATAGGCCCTTAGTGTTCTCGGGGCATGTGAAAGTATTTGTGATGTAGATATGGGGATACGAATATGCACCATAGCAATAAAATTGGGCTTTGCTTGCGATACTTGCGTGGGTAATTCCCTTATGAGCAAGTATTTTTGGTCGAGTCACACTAAAGATGCGTAGAGAGCTTTTGGTGCACTATTCGGAAAGAATTTGATTTCTTATGATACTCATGTTGCTGTTTTATCCTCTTGTAGCCATGTGGTATGTCACACCCCAAAACCTACCAATATGGGGAATGACACGGCCGTCCTTTCGCCCAAAGGACGCAGCCTCAAACCACCCAAGAATCCCAATGACATCGCTCTCGTTCTATTGGCTGCTAAACAAAGAACCTGAAAGGTTGGGAAAAGAGGGGGGTGAGCAACCACAGCTCAGTGAATAGTACATATCTTCTAAGTAGATTGAGCAATCACTATGCATATGTACAAAGCAATACCAGAACTTCAGAAGCCAAACCCAAGGTTTAAAACACATATAGAATCACATAACAGTTATTTCATTTCATCAAAACTTTGTACAAGTCACAAATACACATTTAAATCCACAATCACAATTCAAACTATCAATGGTCAAGTCCATTGATCAATCTCTATACAAACCACGTCAATGGTCCATTCCATTGACTAATCTCAAATCACACATCAATGGTCTATTCCATTGATGAATCTCATATCATATCAAACGTCGATGGTCCATTCCATCGACCAATCTATTGCTCAATATCTAACTATGGTCACGACACAAAGCCTTGTGACAAGGCTACCAAGATTCCCCCCTTGGTAAGGTCTCCACCTACAAAGCCGGTGGCTCGGCCCAGAAGGATATCCTAAACCCGGTATGCATACCCCCAAGCCCCTCAATGGGCTCACAGCGATATTGAGTATCAAACAATCATCATCCAATATCAGAAATCTAATCCAGAATACATTTCACAAACCAAACAAATAACTTTCTCGTAACACGGCTCATCCGCCGGAAATACATTTCGTAGAGCATTTCTTGAATAATTTCCGAACTTATTTCATAAACTAGTTCATAACACAATATACAAATGTATCCTTTCATAATACATTTCCAAAAACGATTTTCAAATCATTGACAAATACTAAAAAGTAGTAAATGCTCGATCCCGATTTATGCAACAAAATGCTCTTTTAAATTCAACATATATATTTATGTCGAATCATAATTCCTTCGAGATATGATTTTTATAAAACCAAAGAACAGATAGTACCACTCACCTGGAATCCCAAAAATCAAACAACCACGCTCACTCGAATCGACGATCTCGTAATCCTAACAATTAAACGAGAATCGACATCAAAATCAAGTAAAGCACCATTTCACTAACGACTAGACTAAACTAAGCTTAGACGCTAATCAAAACGACTCAAACACGCCCACAAATCCTCCTCCAAAGCGATTATCCAAATCGCCCGCAACGCGAAACTTGAACGCGAAACTTGATCGCGCCATAACTTTTTCCATCGAACTCCGATCCTAGCAAACTTATAGTCAAAAGAAAGCCCGTTCCGAGTATTACAAAAGCCCCAACTTGACCGTCCCAAAATCGAGCCGAAAACAGACAAAAATCGGCCTAAAGCCCACTGATCGCGCACTGTTCACCTTGTGCGGCCAACTTCAAAAATTCATATTGGGCAAACCGTAGGTCCAAATCAAGATCCGTAAGATCCCACAGCTCCACAACACCACAAACTATCAATTCTATAAAAATACACAGCTCTACGACTCAAAAATCGGACTTCGCCGCTCGAATTTCCCAAAATTCCGAATTTCAAGCCCTAAATCGGAAAACTTTTCCGATCGGACGAACGAGGGGCGTGAATGCTTACCGGGCGTTGCGATACGAAGTCGAATCGGCTAGGCGAGGTTCGCGCGGCACCAAACCCTCCCTTTCTTCTTCTTCTTCTTCTCTTCCTCTCTTTCTTTCTTTTCCGTTTCTGTTTTCTCCTCCCCGAAAGCTCTCGGTCCTCTTTTATAATTGAAGTCCACTGTAGCAAATGTTGACTTGTTGACTTGTTGACCTTTTTTTTTTAATACTCAAATATTACATGGTATTTCTGATGGATGGAAACACTTTATGTACACAGAACATGGATTCGTGCCTAGAATTGAACACCATGCATGCATGGTGGACTCATCGGGTAGATGAGAATCCAATGTCGTAGCTTGTCAGTCTATAAATTCAATGCTTTCCGGGCTGATACGCTGGTCTGGCGTACATTTCTTGGAGCTTGCCAAGTTCATGGCAATGCGGAACTTGCAAAACAAGCTGCATGAATGAAATTTTAGCCGGAACTGGATGACCCTACCTGAAGGTTATATTTTGGTAGCAAATGTGCATGCCTCGGCAGGTCTATGGGAAGATGCAGCAGCTATCAGAAAGAAGATGGAAACTGAAAAATCTTACCAAAGAAGCCGGTTGTAGCTCAATTCGAGTGAAAATTATAGTTCAAAAATTCTAAGTCACACCCTAAGCACGAGAGATAAACGACGAATTGGACCCATGGACTAGTCGAATAAAGAAAAACTGGT